AGGAGGAGTGGAATAGAGGAATGGGGCGAGTGGAGGAATGGAGGGGTGGAGTGGAGGAGTGGAATGGTGCGGGGCGGGGGGGGGGGGGGAGGAGGAGGAGGAGAAAGGGGAGGAGGAGGAGGAGGAGGAGGGGGAGGAAGAGTAGGAGGAGGAGGAGGAGGATAAACCTCTCCCCTACGAGCGCACGAGACAACTGTCAGCTGTTGTCGCCACGGAACCCCAGGGAGCCTCGGGGCGCAGTGACAGGGGCGTCTTTTCTCACGGGCGGCGCGGCCACTTGTATTATCTCAGGGGTTGTGTTCCAACGTCCATTGAGGAAGCTGCTCAAACAACTCACATAATTCTGAAGCGAAGCTCCGCTCCACGAGAGAAAGACAATACAGTGCAAAGGGAGGCAGGTGGGAACCGCGCGCGTTACGGAAGCAGGCTGTTGCAATACGTGCACGCACTAGTAGCATCTGCCTTACCAGCGCTCGAGACAACTCTCAGCTCTTGTCGCCACGGAACCCTAGGGAGCCTCGGGGTGCAGTGGCAGGGACTTCTTTTCTCACGGGCGGCGCGGCCACTCGTATGATATCAAGCGTTGTGTCCCAGCGTCCATTGAGGAAATTGCTCAAACAACTCGCAGAATTCTGAAGCGAAGCTTCGATCCAAGCGTGCAAACAATTCTATCTTGGAGGGGAATGGGTGGTGGTGGGACCTTCTCCCTGGTCAAGAATACACACTCACGATAGCACAGCAGCAAAGGATGTAGACTCGAAGCATTTAAATGCCATTGACAACGGCACCGGCCAGGGCTCTGGAAAACCGCTTTGGCTACTCCCCGGCCGCTCGAGTCCACAAGATTCCATTCTCGTCTTTGCCCTTTGCCCGTAAAAGAGACGGGTTGCTGTTTCGTTCTGGCACACCTCCCCTTACAGAGCTTGCGCCAACGGCCTAGAGACCCTCGAGGCAAAAAGCTAGATACTAAACGAGTGGGCTTCATCCAGGGCGCTCCCCATTTCCAGAAATCAGTTCGCACTTCACGCCTTGCTTTGTGCCTTCGTAAATGAACAATTTGAGGACCCTCCCTAAGAAAGGATAAGTACGGATTTTCGATACAGAACGGAACCATTATGTAGCGACGCCACCTGCGCGATACTCACCGTGCTTTCGATTGTTTTGTTGCCATGCCCAATCTTCCAGCGTCCCCCTTCGTATCACAACGCCGGAAGCCCAAGCTTGCGCTCTAGAACCCGAAATGGCCATGGACCGTTGGGTCTAGTGCGAGCCCGCGACCAAGACGCACAGGGAGTCCCAAAGTGTATGCCCAGGACGTATCCAGCCATCACCCAGCCTCTGATGCATCTGACTAAGGTTCGCTTACACATATCGTGCTTGACTCCAACCCGAATGTCGAGGCAACTATTGCAAGGTAGCTCAATCGCGACGTCTCTAGCGACAGGTAGCCCAATCGTGACATCTCTCGAGAAAGAACGGCACCATCGACGCGCGCGCAGGCCTGCCGGCGCCTGCGGCGGCGCGGCAGCATTCAACGGGATCCTCGGCGCAACTTCCAAACGCCTGGCGCCGAACTCCCTTATTGGCTCTGGTTTTTATGTTCAGTTGTTGTTTCGCTGCTCGGTGTGCTGCCTTTGATGTAATTGCCTTTTTGCTGTGTGGTCCTTAGGCTTTTTGTTTCCAATGCCTCATAGGGAATATATGATTGAGCCCCCCCGCAGGATTCTTAGTGTAAGGCCTTCTAAATCGAATCCCTTTGTGGTGCCTTCCGAAGGATTCCTGCTGTGAGGCCTTTCAACAGAAGCCCTGTGAGGTGCTTTCCCAAAGATTCCTGCCGCGAGGCCTTCCCCTCGAATCCCTGTGTGGTGCTTTCCCCCCCCAAAAAAAAACTCATGTGGGGGGGGCCTTCCGATCGAATCATTTTGTTGTGCTTTCCAACAGTTCCTATTTTTGCTAGGCTTTTTAACATTTCCAAAAAGGATTCCTACTGTGAGGCCTTACGATAGAATCTCCGATTGCACGCGTGTGCTCAATTGTTTTCAGGGGGCGGGGATACCTCACGGCCCCCTCTGAAAATGGAGCAGGCGGGGTCTCCTGTCAAGAAACCTGCGTTTCCTCCTTCTCCGCTCTGCCTTCCTTCCTCGATTACACTCCGCGCCGTGCTGCCTCACAATTGAAATCCTTTCGGCAAGAACCACAAAAAGGCTTATATAAGAAGGCATCGCAACATGAACCCTGTGGAAAACGCCACACTTGGAGGATTCGATGGGAAGGTCTCACAACAGGAATATATATATATATACACACATTGGAACGCCTCATAATAATAATCCTTCGGGAAGAACCGCCACAGCGTTTCTATGGAAAAGCCTCACAAAAGAAATCCTTGGGAAAGCACCGCGAAGCAATTCGGATGAGCTGTGGGCGGCGTAGGCCAGAAACGTGTATGATGTAACGGCTTTGGCGACGGGGGCAACCAGAAACATGTATCCCTGCCGTAATTTGTTTCACGGGGACGGATCTGCCAGAACACCACTACATGTCTTCATATGTATGTACGTATCTTCATTTATTTGTTATCATTGCAACTACTAATATCAATGATAGCATTATTAATATAATCATTGTTATGAGTATCAGTATTCTGATTATTATGTATACATACAGACATACGTAGGAGTTCTCCCTCGAGGCGTTGTTGGGGCGCTCTTGAGCTGCCTTGGAGGCCTCTTGGGCCGTCTGGTGGGCCTGTTGGGTCGTCTCGGCGTCTTCGTGGTGACCTGTTGATCCGATATTTGGGGCTTCCGGGACCATCTTGGAGCATCGGGAAGGTGAAGAGGTAGAAACGGGAAACTCCATCAACAAACTCGAGAGAAACACTGATTTTGGCTTCTTAGGGCTCTTTGGGAAGTGCTCTTGGAGAGCCTTTGGGCCGTGTTGGAAGCTTTTTGGGGGACATCTGGAGGCCATCTTGGGCACGTCGGAGCGATACAGTCGGGGCGTTGACCTAAGGAACCCTAAATAAGGAACGAGGCCCCTTTTTTCCATACGTTAACCTTCGATTTCCCATCGAAAGCACAAGGAAAACCCGAGGCAAGCTGTGAAACAATCAAGGAACACTGAGCCCCTCCCCAACGAAAAGGGTTCCTTCTGCAGGGCCCCGACTGTATTTCGGTGACTGTAGCCCCCTTGGAGGCCCCGCGCGGCTCTTTTCATCCGAGCTGGGGCCGTCTTGGGCCGTCATGGGGGGCGTCCCTGGTCCGTCTCGGCGCCCCCATGGCCCATGGGCGCTTATCTGAACTTCCCCATGGCTTTTCCATCTCCCCCATGACAATCGAATCTGCCCCACGTCCACTTAAGTGTTCCCATGCGCCATTTAAGTTCCCCGCGGTCGCCAAACCTCCCCCGCGCGCTCGCCACTTTTACCATATTCGCCATCGCAAGCCCGCCTTCCTCATCGCCTTCCGCACCTCATTTGCGATTGTGCCCACAACATCGCTTAATGGACTGTGGATCTCATCAGCTCATGGGGGCCTGCCGTGACGATATCTGCATGTCCGGGACCGTCCTGGGCGCCTCGGGGCCGTCTTCGGCCAGTCTTGGGCCTTTTTGCGCCTTTGGGGCTTTGAGCCGTCTTGGGCGGGTTGGGCGATCCTGGAGCAGTCTTGGGGGCTCCTTGGGCCGTTCTCTGGAACGCTGGAGGCTCGAAACGCGAGAAGGCCAGAAACGTTTAACAAAAATCAGCGATTTGGGCTTCTCGGAGCTCTTTCGGAAGGCAGTTTGGAGGCTTGTATGGGGGCTCTGAGGAGGCAGCTTGGAGGCCTATTGGAGGCTGTTTTTGGAAGCTCTTGGGGCTCGTTTTTGGGTCTCCCAAGCGTCTTAGGCTTGCTGGGAGCCTCGGGAGGATTCTGGAGGCGTCTCGGGAGCCTCTTGGGGCTTCCTGTTTCCCCTCTTGGGCCCATCTTGGGCATGTGCTGGGGCGCTTTTGGGCCGTCTTGGGCGGCTCATGGGCAGTCTCGAGGCTTTCTTGGGCTGTCTTTGCGCTCTCTTGGAAGCCTTTTTGGCCGTCTTGGGGCGGTCTTGGAAGCCTCTTCGGCCTTCTGGGAGCGTTGGAAACTCGAAAACGCGAGAAAGCCAAAAACCTGGGACAAAAATGACGATCAACGATGTTTGCCTCTTGGGGCTCTCTCGGGGGACCTCTTGGAGCCTTCTTGGGGTCCTGGTGGGCCGCGTGCTGGATGTCGTGGGCCTATCTCGGGCTGTGTCGGCGCCAGCTGGGCTGCCTGGCTCTTCGAGGCCTCCTCCAGCCGCCCGGCGCTCCGTGCCGCGTCTCGGGCAGCGTCCGGGACGCCCCCCGGGGCCGCGCGGGAGAGCGTCGGAGGCCACAGGAGCCGCCATGCCGCTGTCAAGGCCCCTTTTTTGGAGGTCCCCGGCCCTGTATTCTGGTGTGCGTATATCTGAAACAGATGGAGGCGGAGGAGGATGAGGAGGAGGAGGAGGAGGAGGAGGAGGAGGAGGAGGAGGAGGAGGAGGAGGAGGAGGAGGAGGAGGAGGAGGAGGAGGAGGAGGATGTGGAGGAGGAGGATGTGGAGCGTGCCCAATACGAGGAGGAAGATGAAGAGCAGGAGGATGAGGTGGAGGAGCGGGGGGCGGGGGGTAGGGTTCGGATTTCGCCGTGTTCGACGAGTTCTGGACCCTACCCCCGCCGCCAATCGAGTTGCCAGAACCGTTGATCGGCGAGGGTAGGGTTCGGATTCCGCCGCCGACAATGGCCAAGATCGGCGTCAACAAGATCACAGATCACCTGAGATCCGACGTGGCCCAACAAGTGCAACATCGGAAAACATCACGCCTGGAACCCTAGACCCCATCTTTCTACAACCCTTTCGAGGCGGATCGATCTGTGAGCGCCCTGGGGCCCGAGAACGAGCGAAAACGCCTGGCTCGAAAACGTTGAGACGCCAGAATCTCAAGCTCCCGCGATATCTTGGCCATGGTCC